TTTTCTTAAAAATAGTGCCATTACACTCGACATAGACTTTAAAACACATTTTTGATTATCTAGAATTTCAATTGAGGTATGTATTAAATATGATGGTGATTATAATTATTGCAAAAAATATGCAATATGTAAATAACATGTAAAAATATACAGCTTTAACCAAAAATGTAAGGCTTATTAATCATTATTTAAAGTTTTAGTTTAAAAATTAATTTGTGGCATTTATTGTAAATTGACACATTAAATTGAATTCAATTTTGTCACTATTTTCATCAAACCGTTCTTTTCAAAGTAGGCCATCAAGCATCCATCGGAGACGCCATGTTGTCAACCGTCCGATGAAAATGCGGTGGATTTGTGTTGAATTAAAAAACTTACCCCATGTTTCTTATCACCAGCTTCTATGAAGCAGAGAAATATAAAATACTATTTATCGATTACAATCAGCTTGAATGGTGAGCGATCAGAATTAGATGTAACGCGTGCTTAATCAAAGTTACTTTAATTAGATAATTGTAATTTTAGGGGGGAAGAAAGTTCGGTTGCGTTAGAAACAATTCTTTACACTTTCTTAATAAAGCTTGACATTTTTTGTTAACGCGTCTTACATAATTCCACAGCTAAAGCATACTTTGTGTAATTGCTAGATTCTCTTTTACATTGCTCACATAATTGTATTTCTCTCAAAAGGAGTACTATAAAATTGCTTGTCAGAAGAAAGCTGACTGATAGAGCAACTGATCTGAAAATACGAAACAAAGAAAGAGAAACGAATATCAATAGGTAATGAAATTAAAATATTTTACAGCAGAATAAGAGAAGGAAGTCTAAAATTTCTGAAGTAAGCAATTGGAAATGATTTAATTACCGTTTGTCACAGTACCTGTGATTGCATATTCGCATACGATTTCGAATGAATTTATTAACGGGTTTCTTCGACAAGGAAACATTCTGACGGAGATGTTAACCTTTATTCCTTTTTGTTTTGTATTTGTCAAGCATTTATTTGTTGAATGTGCAGAATTATAAAACGTGCGTTTCTTCACGTTTACTATTAAGTAATTAAAAATATACGCAAAGTTTAATTATCAAAATCTTTTTACTGTGTATCGAAGAATTATTTTTCTAAATTAATATAGAAAAGGAAGTAACTTCGCGAGTTGTATAAATGTACGTCGATTCATAGCGAAGAGAAAAAGTTTGCGCTCGAGATAATCCATTGTAAGATTAGCAGAAGTTCACGAGATAGAGGGAGAAAAGAAGAAAGAGAAAAAGAGTGAAATTAATACGTGCTGTTCGCATGTATTAAGATGCAAGAGATGCAACCTATTTATTTATTGATCGATTATAAACGAGTATCAAGAAATAATCTCACCGGCGATATTTATGCCGGAGTTTTAAGAGGTTCCTTAGGAACAAGGGAAATTCATTCTTGTATTCTAAAAACGCTTTTACGAAACGGCTCTTTACGACATGTGTGCTACGTGATCGGTGCGTTCAATTTCGTTTAATCACGCCAAAGACCAACAATAATGAGGATTCGACCAATCATGAAGAAGACGGTGTATTAAAATAAATAAGCGGTAAAACATTCTTGTGCAAAAAAAAGACTTTGTGTCCTGTTGCATCCTTTTATTTTTATTAGAATTCACTTTTATATTTTTCTTTTTGAACATCATTAGCTGAAGAAGCTTTCTTGGAAAAATCTAAAAAAAATTAAAGATATAATAAAATAATTCGTATCTTTTATAGAAATTTTTTTTATACTCTCTCGATATAAAGATTCTGTTTGCTCAGTTTTTTAAGACAAATTTTGAAAGCTAATTTCTTCTACATAATTTGTGAGGCTCGAACTTAAATTAACAAAGCTGCAATGTTGTTTCACGAATTTTTACAATTACGCTGAATTTTTTTAACCGGATTTTTCTAATCGGAATTCAGATATTGTTTAAAGCTTATTTGATGTCTATAAATACTTCGTGATAAGGATTCTGTTGCAAGAGAGACCCGAGAGCTCTCCGTTATAAAAGAGGCCCGAAGTCACAACTTGTATAAATATAGATTACATCGTCGCCTAAAGCTAAGTTGCAATCAAATAATTTTCCGATCTGATCGCAAACTTTACGCAACGAACAGAGTCCATCGGTTGCTCTATTACGTAACGCGGGCAAAACGCTCGTCATCGACGCCGTTTAACGCTAAACGTGACTGAACGCGATATCGTTGAATATATGATATCGCGCAAATATTAGACCGATTTACGTTGAAATTGGATAAACGAAATTCAAAATGAGATTAGCTTTGTACACGAAATGTAGAACATGGGGTGGCACACGCCTTCAAAATTCATTTGACAACTTCGCTCACCGACCTTTTCCCTTTGTCAGCACAGTTGCGAGTGGAAAATCGAGTAAAATCCAGAAAGCGTGGGCAAACCTTTGCGGTCCTCATCACGACGCTGCAAATTGGCTGACGTGAATGGCCGTGTTTATCGTGTCATTTTCGCCATATCGACAAATAAATAGCTGCGCGAATATCGATTTCGCACCAGATCGCCAGAAAGAACGGTTGCTATCCGTCGTTCCGTCATGAAGTTCCACCAAACGAAGTGACCTTTTTATCGTTATTCGTTAAGACGAGTCCTATTTTTTGCTTTCTTGTAAGGATACTTTTTCATGTCCTGTGAAATCGACTGTATCTCATCAGCGGACGATCCGTTCTGCTTCCGATTCTGCTTCCGGGAAGAACGCTTCAACAATGTCAATTTGGCTGCGTCGATCTAGTTAAATCGGCTTAGTACTGATTGCCGTACTTTGCGCTGCAAACTCATTAAGAGTTCATTAAGATTTTGTCGATAACTTCGCACGAATCATTCTTCCTTTGGCACTCTTGATTATCCTTACGTACTGGCGCAAACACTCTGACCTTTAATTAATAACTTGGGAGTTTATTAATAAACGAAAGAATTTCAGAAATTCGGAACAAAGTGGAATTGCAAGTGTTTCCCTATTACAATAATTTCATAATTTCTGCGCGTCACGCAGAGATTCATAACGTAATCTTAATTTTTTTGCAGACGTTTGTGCAGCGGTCTTTAATTATCTTCGCCATTCTCTTGTGCTATTATCAATCCTGGGTCGGCGCAGTGGATTGTGAGTAAGTGTCGTATTCATAGACTTCTTTCTTTTCCTCGTGTCATTAAGAAAAACGGAATCGTGTAGGATATAAACGAGATCGCTGTTGCAGACAAGAACCCTATAATCCGGCATGTCGAGGTTCACAGGCGAGGAAGCGCCTGACACCCTTGCCTGTCATGCGTTCAGGCCCTTTCAATTGCGAAGATGGAGATTGCAGACTTCCCAAGATGAAATTCTTGATCGCGATTCTTGATGACGTAAGTAAAAGCTTTCATTATTCGGACTAACAAAATTAGAACATGATAAATGAGAGAAATAGAGAGAGAAAAAGACAAAGGAGAAGGTGAAAGAAGAGAAATTTAATTTAACTACTTCTTTCCGTTTTGATCAATCGATTTCTTCTTCTTTTGCGATACCTATTTCTAAATAAGATACAAAGATATAACTAGCTCGATATTTTAAAATTAGTTTTTTATAAAAACTTAACGGGAGAATTAAAGTTTGTTGAATATTAAAGAAGCTTAACTTATTAATATCTACAGATTAAAGATTAAAAAGGATTAAATACAAAAAAAGGATTTAAAAAGGGAATAAATTATAAAATCAAATAACTACTCTGATAGCAAAATGTTAGCAATTTGGGGTCAAATTGGCAACAAACTCGGATTTTGACTACAAAACCATAGCCATCTGTGTCCGCATTCGGCTATTGTCCTGCTGACAGGCTATGCCAGCAGATTGGTTGCAGAAATCGAGTAGAATTTGCTTGAATCAAGTTCTGCTCTCAATCTGCCGTCAGGTTATGCAGTTTGTTCGGTTTCTGCTACCAATCTGCTGGCATAGCATATCTAGCAGGCTTTGTCATATTTCTGACAGCAATTTGCTGACCATATCAGGTAATACCAATTCTGTGTACAACTTGTTGTCTTTCTGCAATCAAAAATTGGTAGCAGGCCCTGTTCAAAATCTGTCTTCGCATTTTGCTATCACCTATAGTTTTATATATCTCTCTTTCGCTTTCATTTTTCTATTGAAATTATTTACGATTCGAATTTTCCATTTACCTTATAAATTTTAATAAGAATAATGTCTTCAGGTATATATAATAAAATAAAAATAATATTTAAATTGATCAAAACTAAAGCAAAAACGAATTAATTTTTATTAATTTTGATTAATCAATACGCATTTAAATGAAATTAATTGATGACCTTTTCCTGTTCATTTTAGCCTTCCCCCAATGAGGTACACCCTTCCAACTCTGCCCATGCGCGCAAGGGCAGGATGCGAATAGATGAGACGAAGGATGTGTATTTGGATGACTATTGATTCGATTACTAAATTATGTCGACGCGATTCGCAGAGATGACTGACCGATCGACAACTTTTCTGAGATATTCCTCGTCCGTTCGATTATCTTTTATTGTATTATCTGGCTTGATTCTCTATCCGTGTTTTCCCTGATATCATCTCTTTTCTCTTTTACTTCATTTTCTCGCAATTTTGGCAGCGATAATAAAGTACGTGCGTGCACGCATATTTGTTAGCACTCTGACTTTTCGATAATAAACATTTGAATCGCACAACGGAAAAGTATCAATTTACCGTCTCGATCTTGTAGAAAAGTAATTGTCCGCACGCGAAATAATTACGATCTCCTTCGCGTCAACCTTCAAGCACCTCGTTATATTCTTAAATGTGGCGTAGAAAGATGAATACTTTAATAAATAGTATTGGACGTTCTAATTCGATTTTACGAGAACTAGACACGGAGTTTACACCAGTTGTCACTTGATCCTTGCTCTTTCACCCGGTGTAGTGTACTTCAGCTCGCTCCAGTGTATATTTATCGATAATTTGAAAATTGTGCGAGATTATTAAATTACAAGCGTCATTCAATTTTAAACTATCCTCACGATTGTTATTCCGCGAACATTTAATTCTCGCGCTGGAAAGATCGAAGTCAATATAGTTAATTATTCCTAAACTTGTATGCGCATCCATGCGTGAGCCGTGCATAATAATGATCGGCCACAATGTCGTGTTACTGTACATAAAGAGATGTAAAACGATAATTATACATATATATATGTTGTTCTAAATTATGTTTCGATTATATTTCAAATAAAGTATATGTACATACTTGATAAAAAAAAGGAGGCTTATTATATTATACTTTGGGTGCAGCAGCTGCTAAACGTGTATTAATTGCATCGCATAACAATTAATAAACTTCGATCACATCATCGATATATTTATTGCTGTAGAAGTTGTGAATCTTTTTGAAGAAATGAAGCCTGTGATGTCTTACCACAATATTGCGCTTTTAACAATTGTCATTAGGTACATTATTTTTATTATCTTCTTTGTGTAGTAAATTAAACGTTAATCAGAGAGATAGGAAACTATTTTGTAATATTTCATGAATTTATATGCTCTTCAAACTTGAAGATTGAGTTTAAGATATTGCAATTTATCAATGCATTTATTTTTAAAAAAAAACATAATTATAATAAGAGAACAGAATGAGCCAAGCAAGATCTTGATGCTATTTAATAAATAACAAACAAAAAGTTTATTAGAACGTACGTTTCGACCTCAATCAAGTCATTCTCAACGTTAACAATATACAAATTTTAAAATTCAAATAGTATTAACTATAATATCATCGCTCTGATTATAACATTAAGAATAATAAATTCCAAAGAAATACATTATTAAATCGCTTATAGTCTTCAACGAATGTCTTAAAGTAAAGTCAAACGAAAATAGCCAAAAACATAGCTCGGAGTTCATTGTAACCAAAATAACGTCCAACAATAAAAAGATTAAATTTCAGTTTGGTGAATTGGTTGTAATTCATCGCAAAATTTCTTTAATATCAAATTATTCGAAAACGGCGTCTTGAGTTATCTTGCTTAAAAAAGAACTATGTTTTTTAGATAAGAAAAAATTACTCTGAAAGTTGTACGTCGAAAATGATTGTTCTGACAAAAGAGATTAAGACGCTATATATAGAGATAAAAAAAGTATGAAAAGAGGGAGTATACTAAAAGGCATTAGGAAGGAGACAGACAACGACTACAGTATGACAAGATACATGTCGGATAAAGACTCCGTATTGGTTTGTTTATTTAAACCTTGAGATTGTCTCTTTATATGCGCCATTTCTGATATTAATCTTTTATTATAAAATAATTCTGTATCCAAAATTTAAACCTCTTCCCAATTAAAATCGTGATTAAAATTAATACGATGGTCCGAAATAATTGATGGAGATCTCGTTTTTTTATTAATATCACATGAGTGCTCATGAACTCTCGTTTGTAAATGTCTCTTCGTTTGACCGACATAACTTGTCTCAAAACAAGAAATTTAACACACCACATCTTGATGTGATAAGGAATTTTCAGGCGGGATTCTTTGCCTACTTTATTTATAAAATTATTTAAGGTGTTTGGAATAAAGAAAGCCGTTTTTAAATTAATCGTCGAAACCACGTACCGGCGCAAAACTTTCAAAAATGTATCTTATGTACGGAACCGTGAAACATTTGTTTTTTATCTTTTGTATATAAATTTTCGTATAATAATATTCCTGGCAGAAAAACTTTTATGAAAAACTATACATAGATTGAGACAAGATTTTAAAAATTATTAGTTTTTCATAGATATTTGTAATGGGACGTAGAGCGGTGTTGTTTGTTTGAAAAATCCTTCGCCTTCAAACAATGCCATTCTATACGTCCCACTACGAATATATCTACGAAAAACTAAGAATTTCTATAAAGATCTTGTCTCAATCTATAATATAGTTTTTCTGTACTTTTTCGTAAAAATCTTTTTTTCGAAACAGGGATAGCATCAAGATCGTGTTTAGCCCTATTCTTATTAATTTAATTTAAAAAAAATTATTTAAACCTTTTTTCTTTATATATATATAATAATTATTATATTTTTATGAACTTAAAATATTTTTTAATAAGAACAATAGAAGTATTTTTGTAAAATAAGAAGCTAAATTATTTACTATAAAAGTTGTGAATCTTTTCAAGAAATGAATTTGCTTATTATTATATTATGTAGCAGATATATAATTTGATTACTATTGCGGTATTGTTATTTGTACAAATTATACATTATTTTTATCATCTTTTTTTTATATAGTAAATGAAAGATTAATTCAATAGAAATCCGAACAATACATGTTTAAAAGATATCACACATCATAAAGAGATTTTCTAAATAATGCGTGTTGTTTAATTAGAAACCTATTTTAAAATAAAAAGTAAGAAGTAAAATTACGCTCGCAATTCAAGATGGATGCGTAATTGTGTCATGAATTTCACATTTTATATACAAGATGTCAGGTCGAGAGGTTCACACGATAATTTCACGAATATATGTGTGTGTGTATTTATACACTGTACATATTCTAACCAGTGATGCGAATTCCGGGCCGCTTGCAGCACGCGATCAGCGCCACCGGTCGGCGGTCTGGCTCAACCGAGGCAACACAAGCACGAGCCCGTGTCCGTGTGACTTGGTAGTTAGAAGCGTGCCGACTATATTCTGACCTTTTCGCACTCGTCCAGAGTATAGTCGGCACGCTTCCAACTACCAAGTCACACGGACACGGGCTCGTGCTTGTGTTGCCTCGGTTGAGCCAGACCGCCGACCGGTGGCGCTGATCGCGTGCTGCAAGCGGCCCGGAATTCGCATCACTGATTCTAACCTCACTTTTTGCAACGCAAAGAAAGATATACTACATAACTTTAACCTCCAACAAATGGTGAAAAACTGGTGAAAAAAGAATAAAAATGAGAGAAGGATATACCTCTGGAAATTTGTGACGAATGTTTTAAATTTTGATGTTAATTAAATCATTCATAGTGAAAGTCTACAACGAATAACATCCTTTTACTCGTCTTTCGCGATGAGCGTGCTCGTGCAGCGGTTAGGTCGCCTGCGGTGCGTGTATCCGGTGTTGTTGAGAGGCTCTGACAACGGCAACTTCGTGCACTGGGTGCACGGTGCTTTACCAAATAAATATAGCACTCAGAACGTGACATGTATCGATTCGGAAAGAACCCTGGGGATACATCCTAGCACTCCTGTCGTCGAACAGGACAAGAACGAGAACAAAAGGATGTGGGAAAACGAGTACGCTCACAATTTCTTCCTGAACTCGTTGAAGTATAAAAAGATCGTGATGCAGCCGAGCACGACGTATGCTCATGTCACAAACGAGGAAGCAATGAAGATCCTGGAATACGATTGGAATTTGATGACGAGCGCTGAAACAGTATCCGCCTTCAAGAAACTGTCCTATAACTTTTCTCACAACAATGAAGAAAAGATCGAGTCACTCCAATATATAAAGGCCTTTGGCAGTTTAAAAACGGGAAAGCTGACCAATGACGAACTGATGACTATAATGCGGCACCTGGTACAGTTCGACATTGATATCAAACAGTGCAAATTCTACTACAATCTCTGTATACGGATAGATAGAGAGTGTATGAAGCGTTTCTTGAAGTTGCCAGTGGAACAAACATTATATCTCTGTGACATAATATATCAGATGACACATTGCATTAATTATTTTTCTCAATACATGTGGTATTCCATTAGGACTATGAGCAACAAACCTCATAAGCTTAATCCTCAGCAACTGGTTCAGATTCTTTTTTTTTTAAACACACTCCGGAAGCCATCTGTAAAAATGTACGAGTTCGAGTATCAATTGGAACAGTGCAAGGATGAATTGTCGATCAATGAGCTAGGTATAGCAGCGTTGGGTTTTTTCAAAACTAGTACGAAAATTAGAAGCTCAGATTTTCTGAATTATATCATCCAAAGGGCTGCAGCTGAAATAAATGAAATACATACTGTGAGCATCGCAAGCATTGTAAAATTAATACGGTAGGATGAATTTGATATTTATTTATCGAATGAATTTGTCGAATATTCATTGATTTGTCGATTTCATCTTTAATACTCTACTTACAGATACAGCATAAATCTTACACAGTTGAAATCGCTTCTAGATTTATTGAAAGTTTTGGCGATATATGAGCCACGTTACACGTTGTTATCTTTAACACATATCGCACAAGTATGTGGAAGAACTGCCGTGTACAACAAAGAGCTCATGGACAGAATAATCACAAGGTAAATTTTATTTTTGCATTTGCAGTCGCTATTAATATTCGTGATAAGCGATGCTTATGATTGATACAATTCCAGATTAAATAAGGAATTAAAGATTGCGAGGCTGAAGGATTTCGAAAGATTTCTTTATACTTTTTCTATTCTTAATATTGATTCGAGCAATAGCGTCTACCAGAACGTGATCGAGGAATTGAGGACTACTTGGAATACTACTCGAGCATCCGAGATACAGAAGTAATTGTCGAATAATAGCATAATTTTTAAAGCTGCATTATTTAAAATTATTCTTTTTCTGCTTCTTAGAAAAAAAGAGTTGTTCCATTTCAAAGATATTTACAAGAATTTCCCGCGACAGGTATCCACATGTAGCTTCACGTATTCTAGGATATTTGACAACACAAAATATATTTCCCATGGATCTAATCAAATACGTCATGGCACCTGAATTTGTGACCAAAATATGCCACGGCAATTACCATCTTCTTTCGCGCGAATACCTTATGCTTGATTACAGCCTTCAAATAGAAGTACCCGATTACGATGGTCCATTTCTGAAACCTACTGTAAGAAATTTTCTAGGAAAGGTAAGCAAAAAGAAATCCATTATTCATGATCGAATTATTTATCATACATCGTACAAGTTTGACGAAAAATGATACTTATTAATAAATTTAATAATCACAGAAATATTACGACTGCTGTCTGGAGACAAACTCAAACTCGACTCGGGCGAATGTGCTTTTCTCGAAAGTACTAGCAACGTGTCAGGTATATACATATATCACCACCTAAAAGCTAATCTTTTCCTTTACGTGTATATTATTTCATAAAATATTCTTATCTTTAAATAGGAGTTGTTCAACAACACGACGGACATATCGATCATTCGTCCGTTACCGCACTTTACGCCGCAGGACATTGTTTTATGTTTAAACGAGCAAAATCAGCTTGTGTCATCAGAGAAATATTTATCGCAGTTTGAAGATATTGATATTAAACGAGTGGACAAGGAGAATTCGAATAATGTAAGATGGATTGCCCTCGTAATAGGACATTCTGGATTATTATTAAGGAATTGTCGAAACAGACCTACTGGAGCGTTAGCTGCAAAAATGAGACAGTTGTCTATAATTGGCTACGAGCCAGTCATGGTAAGTTTTGTACGAAATAAATATATCAATATATAATAGGAACGCAGAAATATATTATAAATACAAAAAAAAAACGCTATCTTTCTGAACATTAAGGATATAAGTTTCAAGAGTTAAAAAAAAATCAATCAATCAAATTCCATGTTGACAAAATTATGTTGAGTTAAACATTTCTTTTAATCATAATATTCAGTTATAACGCAAATTGCAGTAATGTACAATATAATTATAATTAATGCTGATATTTTAGAATTAGTCTAACGATATATTTAATTAAAATGATTTAAATAACAACATTAATTATAGTAGTACAGGTAACGCAAGAAAGTTTTTTTTTATAGATATCATATTTGATTTGGGATGTACTTCAGTCGCCGCAGGTAAAATGTGAATACATCAAAAATCTTATTATGAAATAATATGCTAGAACTATCCAATATAATGTTTCAGAAGGACATCTTGTACATCTTTTATTAGGAAAAATATTTCTTGTAATATAAAATATTTTTTGCAATACATTGTTGGTATATATACATCATTCTCTTATATTTACAGATATAGACATTGAAGTCGCATGACGTATGATTTTAGAATACATATTGTTTACAATAAATGCATTTGTGTAGAATATTCGTGAGGTATTAGGTCACATAAAGAAAACGAAAATGTTGAAATCGATTTTAGAAATAATTGTACATAAATTTTTTTGTATATTCGACAGTGACAAACAGTGTCGCAGTCGCTGGTATCGTTCTAATTAAAGTTGGTGTTAATCCATTATACAACGCGCCGATACCTTCTTGCCGTACGATATTCTTGAAAACTATCAAGGCGGGCGTTTTCAAGTTCTGCACCTGGTTTCCAAGACACTTTGTTATAAGAGATAAAAAACTCAGAAATAGACGCATATTTGTAGTTATCTTTGAAAACATACCTGTATTCTACTCTTAACAACATCGGCTGGAAATATCGCTAGCCAGAGCATCGTGCCTCCGACCGCGCCAGCCACCATCGTCTTTTGCCAACCAATGTCATCCCTATTCTGATCCTTGGTAGCTAATAACTCCCTCGTGGCTTCGTAGCCGCCGAAAAAGAAGAAATAGCCTGGCATTTCACGGGCTATCGTCGAAGAGAGGCCTGTAAATAGGCCTCTTACACCTTGGTCCCTAAAAACTTGCCTCGTCAAACTCCACGGTCCTATACGAGATTTCTGAGGAATAATAGTGTTACTAAAAAATTACCATCAAAATTTTTAAAACAAAATTCATGAAACGTTATTTACCGTGGATTTTTCCGCGGTAGCTGCCATTTGCGTCTGTTCGACTTCCCTCATAGCCTGTAGCTTACATTTTATTAACTCCGTCGGGCACAGCGTCAACGAGGAAAAGAATGCAGCGAAGAAGCCGGCCCAGGCGTTACTGAAGGAACTTAGCTCTTTCACACTCTGTACACCTGTAAAAAAAAGAAAGATAAAACATTATTTACTTTATTATTTATTTATTAAAGCATAAATTATTTTAATTTACTTTAATTAAGCATTGACTTTTTTTAAAAATAATTTATATTTATATATTAATTATACCATCGTAGTTCATGATTTACCTGATAAATGAGCGATCGCCTTTTGACATCCGCCGTATGCTGCGAATAATACCGAGTTCTCGGCAACATTGGCGACTACCGCAGGGATCGTTCCAGCGTACAAACCTCTTACGATACCGTCTGTTCTTAACGTACGGAGAAAACAATTCACCATATTTTTGTACATGGATGGGAAGGTTTGCATTTTTACCTTCACCGTGTCCAATGGCTGGCCCACATAAACGAGCGCTATACCACCTTTTAAATAAAAACAGAATAATATGCTTGTATGTAGAAAATACAGAGACTCTCAATAGAATGTTTCAAAGCATTTTTGCGAAATTATTATTCTACTGGCAACTAATGATAAATAACCTCTCTGTTATATTTTTCACATTTGATATAGTTGAGAGATGTATTGAAAAATTATCGCAAAAGTACTATTAAATCATTATTTTAGTGTGTACTCTAAACTTGTTTACATAAATACTGTAGATAATTAACATTATAGTATTAATTTTTTCTAAGATTTTGTCAATTTATCAATAAAAATGAACGTTTCTTGATAATGTTAACGAATTCAAAACAGCTGTAAATTCAGTTTTCTTAGATTGCGGCAGTTTACAAACAGCCAATTGCCGCGCAATTGATACAAAACAATTAGTTTTCGCTTTTCAATCAGATTGCATAAGAACGCAATTTCGTGCTAGTTGGAGTGATTATAAGTTGGATAATTGGATTTATCAGTCGGATATTTACGAAAAGATAACGTTACAGAACAGATATTACCGTTATCTTCCCATCGATTTTATTACAGATAAATGTGTTATTTATCTAAATATCAGAATATACAGTTTTTTTTTTTATGATAAATAGTAGATAGACATTAAGCAACTCAAGTTTCAAGCTGATGTTGTTTGTCATCATTTTGACGTTAAAACGTCATCAGAGCCCAAACAAAACAACAAGCCATGATAACGTTAAAATATATCATTTTGATCTTAAAATGATTTGTTTCTGGTTGGGAGACATCATTTTGACGTCAAAATTAGAAATAACGTCACCTTGTTATCTGGGAATGCACTCGAATGATTTATTTTAGGTACTAACTCGATAATAACTCATATTTTATATATCTATTTATTTATAAATATCGAAAATTTTAAAGTTAAATAGACCAAGTTTTTTGCTAAGAAACGAAATTTTCAGAAATTCTCACTTTTTAAGACTTTTAATTTTTCTATTTTTATATTTTACAATTTTCTATCTTTACACAATTTTTTAAGTAATTTCTTTTTTTTTAAGACTTTCGTGATTTTGTCCTTCTCAAACTTAGGCCCAGCCAATGTAAAATTAATTCCGATTCATTTATTCTTTATCTTTTTCTAATTCTTAAAATTCTTAGAATTAGAAAAAAGATAAAAAAAAGAGTTAAATCGATATTAAAGTTAATCTTACATTGGTGGAATTGAGACCATCTCTACCAATTAATGTAGATTAACTTTAATCTCAGCCTTTAACTTAAGCCTGTGGCACACGATGCGTGTTTTTCTGTTGGATTGTTTACGTTTTGATAAATTACTAGAAATTCTGCGTTTTGAGGCTTGTTCTGATTTCTAGCTGGGTGCTCCTCGAGTGTCATATCATCCTTGTTTAAAGTTCGGTAAACAACAAGGACGGCAAGGACGACATAATATCCGGATGATCCGGGGAGCATCCAGATGGGAATCCGCGAACATGCCCCTGTGTAATATGCAACTCTAGTAATTTACTAAACGCAAGCAATTCAGCAGAAAAACATGCGTGCATCGTGTGCCGCAGGCTTTATCCTTTATCTTTTTCTAATTCTTAGAACTAGAAAAAGATGAAACTAAACAATTAGCTCATGGAATTGCAACACAAAATATGATCAGTATCGTGGCTTCTAACGAGCATTAAAAGTTGATTTTATAGATTTTCAATTTATTGTCATATCATGTATAAAGTAATTACTTTATACATGTTATAATAAATTGAATTGTAATCTAAAATCCAAGATTTTGATTATAAAATAATATAAAAAATGAAGACTTAGTCTGAAACAGAGACTGAAATTAAATAATAAAATAATAATTATATTGATAGAGAAACAGAAATTGGAAATGTTTCGCTGCGAGAGGAAAAATCATCTCAATAGAATATGATTATGATGCAACTTCCGCGCGCGTTCGAGTAAATTCCGACTATCTTGATCGATAATCGACTTGTCAGTCGTTGTACCATTTCGTTAACATAATAGAACAATTGATCTTTTGTTTAATATATGGAAAGAACAATCTCAGCATAGATGGATTCGTGAAAGATATTAGATTACAGATTATAGGAAACCACGCGGCGAGACAATTACCGAGTGAACCGGCCACGAAATCAATCGCGCCCTCCTTGACACTTCCGCGGCAGTTTTCCATCGGCACATGGGGTACTTCCGCGTCGATCAGCCCGGCAACGCTGCCTGTTGTCATCGTGGTCATCGTCCGTGCGAAAAATTCTTTCGTTGCGGCCATGTGCTTTTGTCCCGGGCGATAAAACAGACACAACCACCACGATCGCCAGCCAGTCGCACGCAACGGGCGATACTGGCGATTGAGCGTCTCGCGAGGCGTTATAAATATATGTATATGAATCTCTATAGAAAGAAACTCTGATATCGTCGATTCGTCGGCCTGTCGTTCACGTTGTCATTTAACGAGCAGGTCCGGCTCGAGAAATCGCTGGGCCTGTCAGGAATCCCTGAAAAGAAAGAATATCCGTCGTATCTCGCGTTTTATATTTTTATGCTTTTTGAACGAGAGAGAGAGAGAGAGGGAGAGAGAGAGAGTTCTTGTGTCTAGACATATTATGGAATTTATTATTATTATTAAAAACAGAAAATTTACAGTTTGTTAAGCCGGAATCAGACTATGCATTGAAGATTGAGATTAAAGATTGAAAGATTGAAATTTGAACAATCAAAACAATAGAAGTTAAAATCCCTTTGTCTCCTCATTGGTCAAATTTCAATCTTCACTCTTTAATCTCAATCTTCAATAGCGTAGTCTGATTCCAGCCTTACGTGAACTACAGATTTGTAGCAATGAATTTTGAAACACAGCCAGTACATGGAACAAAGCTGCTTTCCTTTTAGAAGACAGCCAACATAAGAGTATCGTTCTATCTCTATTTGTATTATTCACTGAATGTTATGATTGTCAAGAAGAAAGAATGACGTTTGTGTCGACTGTATCCTTTAAAAGGAAAACAGCCTAAAGTGTTACAGCTGTAATAGAGGTCTGTTCTTTTCAGTTGAATCGTTTTTGCACCGTTCAAGTAACGCTTTTCCTCTTTTTTTTCCATATTAAAAAGAGAAAGAGAGAAGATAAATGGGGCAAGAATTTTAGCTGAAAAGAACAGACCACGCAACTGTTGCTATTGTAATACAATTTAAAACAAAAGTTAGAATTCTTAAACTTTTTTGTAGCAACATAAATTCTTTAATCTCGGTTTAACTTATTTTTTGTTCTTAAAACTAAAAAAATAAGATAAAATAGTAAACCGAGATTAAAGTTAATCTACATTGGTAGAAATATTGGTAGAAATACATTGGGCATTATGGAAAGTTATAGAAAGAATTTCATCGAGTTTTTCAAAACGATAGACAAATGAAAAATTATCCGCTGGCGTTTCGAATTCAGGCTAGACTATTTCTTCTTTGTATTTTTATAGCACCTGCCTCCTTGGAGTAAATCTTTTGGAGCTGGTCAATTATACAATCAGAATATATTTCGCAAGTATACGAGATCTAGATTGTGCAATTTTAATTTGAACGATATTATGGAAAATAATATAACACGC